ATAAAAGCAGTACTGAAATTAAAAAACAAATAAGTACCATTATTTGGCTGCCCTTTAAGGTGATATAATTTCATAATTAGTGACTATTTGTTTCCTACTATTTTTTCGTGACCGCGTTTTAGCCCCTTCGCCATTCTTAAATAGGTCATAATTTAAGGCAGTTGGGAACTAGTCAGACATATACTCATCTAAAAAATTGTTCTAAAGTTATTCAGAGAGAACTTCCCTGGTTCATGAAGCATAATCAATTTTGTATGCATGTTGGAAGGTATTTTTCAGGAAAGATTTATTTATTAATTTTTCAGGCTAAACATTTTTATTTTAATATATGTAACGCAAACACAACAACAAATTTTAATCGATGTTCTGCAGTGTACATCAGTCTTAACGGAATATAACAATTTCAGAGTTCTTTATGAGTTCTGAATCAAATCTGTTTTATTTTAAAAAGTAATAGGAGTATTTTTTTAAATAATCTCTGTATGAGTATATCGAGATTATTTGTTTAATTAAAATACCAACAGGCAAATTACAGAGGATGTACATAATATGCCAACATAGCTATCGGTTTAAAGATTTTGTAGATTGATTTATTATTTCAATAGATTTAATGAAGGCTCGTACTTTTTAATTTTTACCCCATTCTAAATATGAATATAGAAATAACTTATATGCATATGTACATATATCTTTATTTTTCATCTTGAATTTATTCTGGACATATCAACCACCACATCTTGTTTACGATTTATTGTTCTAATGAGGGGATGATATATGGAACAAGGTGCTGAATGTGTCAAGGTTTCCGGTGTCAGTTCAAAGGTCTGAGGAAGCCAGTGGTGTAACAGGGATCGTCGCAACCTATCCACGGTATGAGAACCAGTGGAGGGAGTTTATTTTAGACTGCAGATTGATATAAATAAAATGAAATTCACAGTTTCTACGATGGAAAAAAACTTGAAATAGGTATTCGTTTTATTCGGACGTTGACATTCAAGAATGTAGTCTGATCATGTTCCAAGCTAAATTGCATATGCACTTCTCTCGTAAATACTTTGATGGTACCTAGGTATATTCGACCAATTATTATTATTCTTAAAGTTAATGAACAAATACTTACTAACCAACGTAAATTGTCAATATAATAATTATTATTCGATATATGAGTATTTTTGTCAGGAATGAATAATTAAAAACAGTTTAATCTGGTGCTGACGATGTCAACTCAAAATTTTGTTGAGTAAATATAACATGAAATGTGCAGGATAAGTTTTTTATTAATTTGTGATTTAATATTCTGCTTTTGTTTTTTACTTAATGCAAAAATGAGGAATAATTGTAAAAAAAGTACAACAAAATTATGATTTGTATTAGAAAATTCATAACTAACCCCTTTGAAACCTTAGTCGTATGAATAAACTTTTGAATAATTTTCCACAGGATGTTTTGTAAAGATTATAATGACATCGTCACATCACCAGCACGAGTCTTTATCATCATAAACCAGTATTTTGTTGCTTATTTTTTTCTTTTTATTTTTATATAAGAGGTAGTTTAAATATTAAATAATTTATAACTAATCGTGAAACTCAGTTATTGCCGAATTTATTGCATCTTTATAACAAAATATTTTACTTTTACAAAAATTGGTCTAAAAAGAGGTTATTTAGACAGAATAAATCTCGCTTTTTCGAAAAGTTACAAAATTTGATTTTTGGAAGTTTATTTTTTATGATAAACCCTGTACTATTAGTACTATTAGATATATGGATAAACCCTACAAGCGACAGGAGGGAAGGGGACGCTTATCCCGATGGCAACATGTTGAACAAATTCGTCAACACTTTTGTCATCGATGGTCCCAGGAATATTTGGGCCATTTACAACCTAGGGTGAAGTGGCATCAGACTGCGTCCCAAAACAGCTGGGGATATTGGTCCTCCTAAGGGATCCCACCCCACCCCTAAATTGGCGACGAGGACGAGTGCTAGAACTACATCCAGGCTCCGATGGATGCACCAGGATCGTATCAGTACGCATCGGGGACCGCACAGTGAAGAGGGCCGTTAGGACATTGGGGTACTACCGGTGGATTGAACAATTAGTTCAGTGCGGGCTGGGAAGTTCGGGCCAATCAGCGACAGGAAGGAAGGGGACGTAACCACCCTCTGCCACTCTAATAATATAATTTTAGTTTTATCTTTGTTAGGATAAGGCTGAAAATAAACGTTCAGGAGTACAGACGTCTTGTAGCTGCTCTGAACCCCATTAATTCAGAGTGGCATCCATTGTGACCTACAAGAACCCAGGACCATCCATTGTGACCTGGTCTTTCGACCCACGACCTTTAATATAAATAAATAAATTTTGATTATCGATTTACCATACTAACTAAAGAAACTAAAGATAACTTTAAAACGTTTTGCAAGAATTCAAAGCATTCAGTTTTGCAGTTTCAAAGTTAATTTAAATGATGTTTTTTTTTTTCAAAAATCCGGATGGGTAGGTAATGTAAAAAAATTAAGATGGATTCATAAACTACAAGTGTACATTTACTATGCAACATTTTGAGGTGACATCATCACATTTTTGATTTAGATGGGTGGACAAACTTTGGTTAGCGTTTTATCATTTACACGATATTCCTCAAATACACATACAGGCTGATTCAGCGTAAATGACGAACTGACTCACTGACTTGTCCCTGTGGGCACCTCAAAATACATTTTTCTTCTGTTTCTTGATTCATAGTAGAATTTAAAAAGTATCGTGAATCCAAATTTGCATTCTTATGTCATTGTTAATTTTGAGCACAGTGTCAAAAAAATGTTCTAGTGGCGACAAACTTGTACGCTCAGAAATATCCCGAACGTAGCCATCCAACAGATAAAACTTTCAGAAGACTTTAAATTAAATTACGAAACGTTTGGTTTGTGAGTAAACGAAAAAAATGTAACCGCTACACATTTGGACAACGAGAGAATCTTCTCATTGTCGGTTGTTAAAGACTAACAAGTTCCATCCGTATCATATGCAGTTAGTTCATAAACTACGAGAGACTCAGTACTTTTCATGAAAATTAGCATTTCACAATGTTGTTCGGGAACAGTTGCTAAATGATCTCAATTTTATCAGGAACATTTTATTTAATGATTAATCTAAATTTTCTAACAATGACGCTGTAAACAAACACAATTACATTATGCACAAGAAAATTCACGATGGATTTCTGAAACTCATTTTCAGAGAATTATTTCCATCAATTTTTATTTTGAACGTAATGAGTTACAGTGACACTTTGTTTTGACGTTTTTGAAACAACAGACTTTTGTGATATTTTTGGAATTATGGTGTTAATCAAGGAATTAATGAAGAATGTATTTTGGGTTGCCGCTAATCACAGACTGTGAAATCATATTCGTCATTTAGGCGGAATCACTCTGTATATATGTATAAAATTTGACAGTATGACTCATCGGTTTAGAGAGCCTAGAGAAGAAGAAACGCTAGAAGGTGAAAAATTAGAGGGGCGGAAAATTGTCAAAAATACAAAAATGTAAAATAACGGATAATAGAAATTAATTAAAAACTGATCCACCACATATCCATCTACTGGATCTGAGTCAAAGGGAGTTTTATGAGATAGCAGCAAGTAAATTGGGTGCCTAACAAAGAAATAGAAAATGGATTGCTGAGGGATAATATTTTTGAAAGTACTTTCAATGAATGTAAAAATTTCGGTGTAAATATTTCAACAGAATTTGAGGAGAAACGAAAAAGGAAAATGCAGAAATTAGATAATCAAGAATCAGTTGACGAAAACATTAATTTTTCAGAAAAATACTTGTATACAGTGGAAATGAAAGCGATATTAGACGTTCTGATCTCACATCCAAAATGAAAGTATGAAAAATTGAATGAAACTGATATAAGTGCTGCACAAATATCACCAGAAATATTTAGCTTTAAAAAACAAGTAAATGATTCCAATAATTTCCGATATTAAGGCAACTATAGCTTTAGATCTTTCAAAATAATTCATAAATACGGTTTAGTTGGATGGTACCCAATTTATCAGGTGCTGCAGCCTTTGGGGAAAGAATTAAGTTTCAGTAAAATTAAAACAATAATTAAAAATTATTTAACATCCTCTCTTGGTCAGGATAAGTTGTCGGACATGCCTAGTCTTTACATTGAACAAGAGTCATGTAATCAAATTGATTTTGAAAAAAATCATTGACGATTTTGCTTCAATGTGAACATCTGATTGATGTTGCTATGTGGTAAATTCAATGTATGGTTAGTTAACTTGAAATTGACAAAAACTATTGGCAAGAAGCCAATAAATTTGGTCCATCAGTAAAGAAACGCTTAATTTTGCATTCAATTAGGTACTTAAATTTTAAAGGCAAGACGAGCCGAATGAACCAATATTTGAAAGATACTTTGATGCTTTAAATTTTACAAGTAGGTATTACCTACAATTCTAAGCAAATAAGCACTATAAAAGTTCGATTTTTTTATCATTTGATGATAGAAAAAACTCAAAACATTTTATAAAGTGAGACAAAGTATTAAAATACTTTTCAACTAAAGCGGTCAGCCCCCTTGCCGTTTAGAATTTTTGATTTGGAGGGTGTAGAAATCCGGGGGCAAAGCAACAACGTCAAATTGATTTGTTTTTAGATTTATCTCAAAATAAACCACCAATAGGGTGGCTTCACTTCACTGAAATGCCCTGTACATTACATTTAATAGGCGCCAATTTTGGTTTATTAGGTACTCTTTTGTAACAGACGTTTTGACTATTATATTATACTACAGACTATACAGAGGAGGAAAGACAATGTAAAAAGCATTCATATGTAAATTTGGTGGCCTGGTCGATTGTTTACGAAAACATTTTCTGGAACCTGGGACGGAATTGGTCTGTAGATCTGGGACAGACGACAGTGCGACCTTGAGCGGGACGACAGGTTGCTGTATGTAAACACGTGATCAGGATTCACTCGTGTATCGTCTTGTTATCATGACCGAAGTCGATTGCGCAGCACGTTTGTTTGCAAACAATGAATATTTTTCGTTAGTTTCGTGGTAAAACAAATGCTTTAGACTGAATATAGTAATAAAAAGAAGGAAGCAACAATGGTTAGTTTATCGAGAAGCTTCAACACCAATTCTGGCGTAAGTAATAATGTGGCACTGCTCATAACCTCAAACTGACATTGATAAATGAGTCATCTTTATAAATAATCTTAAATGTTTACAGGGAGCAACATTTTTCAGTGAATCTGGAAATATGGCAGATTCAGAATACTTACAACCAATTTTGGAGTCATATGGAACCTTTAGACCGTTAAATACAGTGCCAGCTTTTAGCATCCATTTGTTAGTTACACTTGCCTTAGAAATATTGGCAATTATCTATGCAGTTAAGCATCCAGATGAAAGTAGTAGATGTCAAGAGTATTTTATAGTTATTTATGTTCATGTGGGGTTGTGGTTCATAACATTGGTTAGTTTGTTTTGAACAAATTTGGTTCTGGGTACTTAATGAGGTTGTTTCAGATTGTTGATCAAGTGGCGCGCAAAAAACACTACAATATGCGCATATTAGGTTATCTAGAATTTTATAATAACACGGCAGTGCATCATCGTCTTCCCTTTTATACAGTCAGCTTATGCAGTGCTGTTCTGGTGCTAATACAAGCATTAATGCAACAGTACTATCCTGACAACTTTGCTGAAAAGTGTATTAATGGAGGAGCCATGTCGCCAACAGGTTACTTATGTGCCTTAATCACATTTGAGTTTTGTTTAATTGCAGGCATTAATATTAATTACATAAGTATGAATGTGGATAATAGTTTTAAAATTATAATCAATTGTTTTAAATTTTAGTAAAAGTTCGCAAGTTTAACAAGCAAAAAGCACCTCCTGATGTGCAGAAAGAAGAATGGAATGCTTGTCAAAGTCCCGAGGCTACTGAAGTTGGATCTCCAATGAGAGGAGAAAAATTACATGACTTTTTGCAGAAGCAGGCGGACCTAATACGATTTTTAAAGGAACATAATGCAAAGTTGGGGGAAAAGTTAATGGTGTTGAGTGCGCAACTACAGGCAAGAGCATGACCAGAGTATGTTTACTAAGTCAAAGTTTGTTGTGATACTGATCCAGTAACCACTTTTTTTTTATTACTTTTTATATTGTTGAATAGTGATGTGTGCATTATAATTTGAGCCACTTTATAGTTACATAATGTATAATATGTATAAATGATGATAATAATAATGCTAATTTTTGTATGTATGTAAAATATAACTGGAATACTAGCATAAAGAGATATTAATTTAGTCATTGTACAGTTTCAAATAAGAATATATAGTGTTTGTGGTTTTATTTAATGATCAATACTTTAGTTATTGGTGGAGACACATCTGCAACAACGCTAAATTCAATGCAAACAATATACCCACCGCCGTTGGAAAAGCGACCGTGCAAGTATGGGTGGATGAGTTAACGCATAAATTTTGGTTAGTGCTCTATTTAGGGTGATAACTGATAATAATGTTAAAGATGTGCCCCAAAGTTCAAAGCAATTATTTTAGTAGTTTTTCCACAAAAATCTACATACGGGTTAAAAATACGAGTGCTTTGATAAATCACAGGTGTACAGTAGTATTTTGCACACTTTGGATAGGATTTAGCAAAATTTTGAATTGACGTCAGAAGTTTTTGGAGGGGGTAAATATATACATTTTTGAACAGCGAATTACCGTAACCACTATAATCTTACCTACCAAAGATTTCAGGGCAATCGGTTTCGTATTTTCTAAAATAAAGTTTCAAATTTTGTTGTGAAATATCGATTCCACTGTTGTTCCAAAAGTCTAGATATTGAAGATAAAAAAATGACAAATTAATAAACAAGTACAGAAGCAAATTATTTACAAAAATTAAATGGGATCGACGGAGCAAAATTTCGAATTCTTGATGGGGATGAACAGATGATTAATTTTATTTTAATCGTCTACACGATAGTCTTGAAGTATACCCCAAACTGCAGAGGAAACCGTTCAATAGTTTTGGAGATTATTTTATGGCGTAATAAAATTTCCGACAGTTAACAGCAGACGACAGAAACGGAAATGGGAGACTGACATTTTCGTATTATGCTGACCATAAAATGTGGAGAAAATATGATGTCAAATTCAAATACATTTGATTACAATGTTGTCGTAAAAATTGAAAAAAAAGCAGAACAAAGATTTGGTGGGAGTACAAGCGGGATTTCTGCTATGTGAGCTGCATATTTTTATATATTTGTAGGTTTTTTTACGTAAGCCAGGGAAGTATTCTGTAATAGGATCCAATTGGTGAACGGCCGATTTCTTGTTTCCTGGATGTTTCATACATTCTTGAATATAAAAAAGTAGATCTTTCGTTTCCGTCCGTATGTCGTTTGTTGGTCATTGTATGTATTAGAAAAGTATTTTTCGAAACTACTGAACAGAGTAGATACCGTAAAACGTTAACGTTACAGTATTGCAAGATCTTTAAACAACAAAGAATTTACATAATGTTAAAATATCCGTCAACACAAGTTATTATTATTAATTGGATCAAAACAAGTTTGTGGACCGAATACCTCACATCATACATGACAAAATACATTGGAAATAAACACAAGAAACAGATTAGGTAAGTATAGTCGAAATCAAAATAAAGGTGCTCTTGGTGAGTGCGTGTTTCAAGAAAAGCATATTCTCAGGTTGTAGAATATATACATAAATTATAAATAATAAGCACAAAATACCCCTCCCTGCTTCAAGTCTACGATGATAGTAATTTAACTGGTGATTATGTAAAATAAAGCGACAATTTTTCAACTACAACTACACACGAACTGCGAACGAATTTACCAGACTAATGGCTATTAAACTGTCTAGTTAAAAATAATGAATCACAATACACGTGTCCCACGAGTAACTCGTCAAAATTTCATAACCCATAAGACTGGCAAATTGTTAATAAAATAATCTATAGGTACTAATTAGTGATTACATTTGTGGACGACTATGGAGTCTACGTCATTTCGTTAAAATATAGCGCCATACGGTAATTTTTTAGCAAGCACCAAGGACTGAATTTCGCTGTTATCATCCATCTTTGGAAGTGTGAGCGGTTGATTACATTATCGAAACGATGTTTTTTAAATGCAGTTTCGCGGTCATTTTCATGATCCTAGAGGCATCTTCATCAAGGAGAGGAAAATTTAACTTATATCATGTGCTTATATTCAGGTTTTTATTTTTTGCAACATGTGTCCTGTATCTTATGTTTTTTTTAGTTACTCTGTTTCAGCAACTTTTTTTCTAGGCTACATAAAGTGTTAAAGTATGAACTGTACAAGTGTCTCCTTATAATATCTAATGTGTATGTTCCAAATTTGTTTCTGGATACATTTTACAAGTTTATTGGTTTTAATATCCGTTACTTCCATGCTCAGTGGTACATACAGTTATTTTCTTGTGCGGTAATATATTTTTGATTTTATTCAATGCCGTTTGATAGTTGTCACTTATATAATAATACATATACATATTTATTTGTATTTCTGTTTAAAGTAAGTTAAATACAAAATAATTATTATAAATATTACAACATTTTTTTTATATCTTAAGAACGGACGGATTTTTTTCTAATTCAGAAACTACGCATATTAAAAAAAACGACATAAATTAAAGTGTTTGGAAAGACCACTTTCCGAAATTTGTTAAGTAAGTCACATTTGTACGCTTGATGCTTTTACGCAAAGAATAGAAGATATGGAATTAGTTTATTTTACGTAATGTAACATTGCTACGAGTAACCCATCGTATATTTTAAAATAATTAAACGTAAACAAACACTCTAGTGGTAAAGCAGCACAAAGCACCGATTTAACATATGAACGTGGGTATATCTACCTCTTTCGTTGATCTTGGTCACTGTGTGAAAGCAAAAGTGTTAACATTATATCCACGCTCGTGAGTGGCTTAATTTACATCTCCACAGATCTGAGACCAGTTGTAGAAATGTAGGTTGTTAAATTAAAAGTGCAAGTGATGAACATGAAGTTGACAACTTTTGATCTTTTTGTGTTTTATTTATTCATTTCTAACTGTGTTTGGTGCCAGGAAAAAAATCCATTTACTGGTTAGTATTTTTTTTTGTTCAAGGTCTGGTTTAATTATTTAACATTCCGTTCTTTCATGTCGTTTTTTTTCATTACTGTTTTCTTTCTACCTTTTATAATTTTGTAAAACTAAAACTTCAATTAGTGTTTACGAAGGCAGATTTTTTCGCTAATTTTATAACAAATAGCGTACCCATATAATAAATTGGCCGTTTTTACTTAAAGGGTTTTGGCAATTTTAGGGATTCAAATTTATTATACGTTATAAGGTTAATTGAATTTACACATCTTCGTAATCTGACTGTTTTATTGATTTTAAAGAACACCAGAGTAAGTTTGACACTGATTCAAGTAATAAAATAAATTGAATGTAAATTTATACTAACTAATCGGTATCTTAAAAAACAATTCGATTGTAAATTCACGATAATAGAATTTTTTATGAACTGGAGTTAAAACACAGCGTCATTGAAATAATATTGTCCTGTTGGTTGGCTGTAGGTAAAATGATTTTTTTTTTACTACAAATCTGGATTTTCGAGACTAATATTATTATAATAAACAGTTTATTATTATCATTCTTTTTAAATTTTTGGTGAAATTTTTCATCACGTGTTTTGAAATATCAAAATCCCAATTATTTATGGAAATTTCGGAACGCAGTTTTTATCACTGTTTTTATCTTGCAAAAGTCTAGATATTACAGGAGAAACATTGCCATTTTTTTGTCGATAAAAAAAAGTCCTACAATGTTTTTCCTAGTGTTTTGTAAGCTGAAAACAGTGGTGAAAACCGAGTTCCGAAATTTTTGTAAATAATTGAGATATTGATTTTTAGAAATGCACAAGGAATATAGGTACAAAAAAAACGTCTAAATTAATTTACTGTTTTACAGTTAACAAAATAGAAATAAATAAATAATACAAAATCCTTTTGCTTTTATTCCAAAATTTTGTCATTTTTAATGATATAAACTATATGTCAGGTGCTCCTTAAAGACTCCTAATTTTTCGTATTTTAAAAGCCGTCTGCGCAATCAAATTCTACATTTTTATTAAAAATTAGCTGCTAACGATATATGCAAACTAAAAAAAAACTAATTCTGTTGTCAGTGTGTGGTAATAACGAGGATTTAAATGTTATGGACATTATTTCTTTTTATATTAATTTAAAGTTCAATCAAACTTGATATTTCCACTGCATTTAAAGTTTTAATCAAATGGTTAGGTAACGCTAAATTTTTCATTACGTGTTTTCAAAAATCAGTGTCTCAGTTATTTATGGAAATTTCGGAATGCGGTTTTTTGGTTTTTATCACTCTTTTTCGTTTACAAAATTCTAGAAATTACAGGAGAAACATTGTCAAATTTTTTTTGTTGACTTATAATAAATGAGATACAGTAAAAGGAGCTTATGTCAAAGAAACTGCTTTTATTCTATTTCATTTCCGATAAAAAAAGTCCGATAATGTTTAGCGTTTTGTAAGCTGAAAACAGTGGTGAAAACTGAGTTACGAAATTTTCATAAATAATTGTGATATTGATTTTTGAAAACGCGCCATGAAAAATTTCACCAAAATTAAAAAAAGATGACAAACTGTTAAAAAAATTGCCCCAATACCATAACAGTAAGTTTTAATAATGAAGGTATTACATTTTGAAAATGTGTTGAATACTCCACAAGAGCCAAAGTAGGTAGGACTTAGTATTCATAGTACAAAAAACGCATCATATAGGTACTTTTATTTATCTCTCCTTCATGACAATATTGCAACATAGATATTAAAGATGCTGCGATTTTTTCAAGAAGATTGTAATTAGAGAAAAAAATTGCGGATTTTGTTGATACTATCTAGTTTAAAAAGGAAAATGAAATATGATGTCAAAATTCTCATAAATTTGATAACTCGTCAGTTACATTCCTTACACTCTCATATTTACTTTCTATTATGTTTTTATAAGATAATTATTAAGGATGATTGCCAAACAATAAATAAATAGCATCAGCTAGTAAATTTCAAATTCTAAATGAGTAAAAAATTATATTTCTATGACCCCTTTTGTTAATTTCTGCTGCTAATTCTTTGTCAAGTCTTCAACATTTCACGAACGACGCTTACTTTTTGTAAATACAGAAATTATTTTTTTTGACATCTTTCCATTGTAAACCGGTGAAGTTATAACGAGTATAATAGTAAATAAATGTTCTCTGTAAGATAAAAAGAAAACACTGTGAGGTCATAGGTACATTTTGACAGAGTAAGGGTCATTGTTATTTATGTACTGTGTGGAACATCTTGCATAATTATCTTTACTTGTACTGGATTGCAAAAATTGTTTTCCAATTTTTCTTAAATGCTAATGACTGGCTGAGAACTGTTATATTAATCTAGCACAAGGTTGTTAGCATGCTCAACAATGTGCAGCATTCATTAACGATGTGATATTTTGAAGCAACAGCTATGCAATTCTGGTTGAGATTACAACATAAAATATATTAGTCTGCATACTCCAATTAAGAGAAATTTATACTTACCTTCCTGTTTACCTATAAATGACGTAAATACTTTGTAAGATAAAGGTGGATTTAATTATATTGATTTATCATAATTAAAATAAATTTAACAAAAAAAAAAAAACGTAAAACCCATATAATCATTATAATTGTTTGTTATATCATACACCATAAGTGAATATTATGCACTTTTTTCACTGCCAGTTAAATATAATTGTTCACATGCGTGTGGATAAATTGAAAACTAGCGCCTACATGATACGTAAATGTGTACTAAGTACCGGTTTTCAAGTTCAGCTATAATTTTTGGTTTTATTTTTAGTGCAAAATGCCATAGGTGAGGACCAAAAAGCCAAAGAAAAAGAAACACCCGGGAAAACTGCAGTTACAGGTTTTCCGAAAACGACGAAGCATATGTCAACGGATAAAGCAAGGAATCCGAAACTCGTCTGCCCGGGAAACGACGCACAATCCTCTTTTTTTTCAATCCCTTGTAAAGTTACCAAAGAATGTGTTCAATTCGGTAACAAAAACATGTTATGTTGTAACAATCGGTGCTTGAAGGGAGTACCGCCACCTCCAGAAGAACCTGTTCATAGTCGTGAGTAATAAAATTTTCTGCGTTGGCAATAACTGCAGTTTGAATTTCTTATTTGTACGATTATAGCAGTGGGGAATTACCTAATTGCAAGATTATCTAACTAGAATTTAAATGTCACTAAAGTTATTATGAGTGTGCAGATTTCCGATAACGATGCTAATCTTTGAAAGTTCATTTATGTAAGCATAAAATATTCCAAACTTTCTTTATCATTAAACTCACTCAAGATGAGTCTCGTTTCATTACCACTTACGTAATTTACTTCCGGTGGCAGTTTCTTTTATTTGGGACTAGTGAAAGTTACAAAAATGTTTTGAATCGTTACCGGTAACTTGTATGTAAGATTATATTGTACACATAAATGGTTGTTTTTGTTTACATCATAATTATTTTCATTATTTGCAGCAACTTTATTTGGGTTAATAGACAGAGTATGCCCCAGTGAACATATACCAGAACTTTTGGGAATAAAACAATGTAAATCTGACAGTGATTGTCCGCCTCGAATATGTTGCCCTGAGAAAATGCCAAGTGGAGAGATGGTTGGTTACTGTAGAACTCCAGAACCCAAATTAGATCGTTTACCAGTAATTAGGCCCTTCATGGAACGTACGTACAACCGGCAACAATCGGAAATCATTTAATGATATTTTTGTAGCTTTAAAATTAATAATGAGTTACATGCAATGTACACCGCCTCCGCCTGCATTGTTAGATCTATTCCCTAAAGAGTGTAACACGCCTTTGGACTGTTTCCCAAATTTGTGTTGTCAGGAAAGAGGTAAACAATTCTGTAGACCAGCAAAGCGGTCCCTATTAACACTTATTACAACAGTTGCACAGGTGTGTATCATAAATATATAGATATTATTGACACTTTACTTTCTAATTTTTAGCGAATAGTACCATCAGACGCAGCTCGCGATTTTATCAACAGAATTACATCTTAACAAGTGACTGAGTTAACTTTAAGTTGTGTGTGTGTTTAAATAAAACTTACAAATATATCAAGAGTGGTTTATTTTAACAAACTTCAAATTATATTTAAATTATGCAAATTATTCTTGAATGAGACATATTTGCTTAGTCGAGCTGAAATCATATGAAAATTAGTTATACCATATATTTATTTCATTAGGTTAACTTACCTTTTTAAACCCAATGTCAGCAGCATATTCCCTGAAACATTGTCGGCAGATGTTTAAGCCATATTTTCGGATTAATCCATGCCTGTTCGAGCAAGCTCGGCTAAAATAGAATAATAATTTTCAAGTTATTAAAATTGTAGAGTGTATCAGCTCGTTATTGTGCCATGTTTCTTGGTGTGGCACTTTGTGTTTAAAATGTGTGTACTTAAATATATCAAGTGCAGTAAATAAAAGTTTATTTATTTATTTAAAATTATAAATTCAAAAGTTGCTGTTTCGATTAAGTACAAATTTTAATTTAAACATTCCTCCGCCTTTTTGGAACATCCAAAATTTCAAAATAATGTAACAAAAATTGGGAAAATGTTTAAAAGAATGAATCAAACACGCTACTTTGAAGGTTATGTTAAATGTGCTTCATGCAATTTCGACAATAAAAAACATATAAAATTACTTACCAGGATCTTGAACCTTGTCCGTATTTACGTGGATGAGAGTACCAGATATTTTGGAAACCCATATTTGTTGCCCCTTAGTGCTTAAAAATTAACACCAGCCTTGTCCTGCAAGTTGACAAATGAAAAGAAAGATGGTCGCTACAGGAAGCGGAAAGAACTACTCCAGTAGCGCCATCGTGTTGTAAAACAAATATATACATATAATACATTCTGTATCGAGTTGTACAGACTATGAAGAGATGGCGCTAGGAGCACTGGTACGTTAATATTTTATTTCTGTTAAATAAATACAACTTTTAAGCACCTAAACCTCTGCAATTGTTAATTTTCAGTGCATTTAATAAAAAGAACAAAAAAATAGGTATATACACCGTGTGTGTGAAAAAAAAGCAGGTTAGATGTCTTATTTATTCAAGTCAAATGTTTTTGTCTACGATATTCAACTTTTTTTTAATGACATCCTATATATTTTTTGGAAATTCTTGTAAAGCTTTTTTTGCGAATTCACTGATATGTCATATTTTATTATAAAGTTGTGGTAAAAATTAATTTAACTTTTGTGTCAAAACGTCGGTGATGGATTAATTAATTTGCAAATTCAATTTCAAATTTAGTTATTTCATGTCAAAATTTATTTTAGCAAGTTTTATTTTGACAAATTTTGGAATTTTTTATAGTGAATTAAATAATCAAATTCCACAAAGGAAACAACGGAAATCTTTCTTAAAACAATAAACATTTTAATCAGAATCTGGTTCTTTATTATGCTCCTTACAGCCGTCTAGGTTCAACATCTCAAATTTTGCGACTATTTGATCGTCATCAAGTTATAGTTTTGATTTATTTTTATTTTTTCCGCAAAAAAAAATCATAACCATAAATATTTTCAATATTTTTAGCTAGTGTTTTTCAACTCTTTCGTCGATTTCAATGGTTTCGTCTATTAGAACTCGATTAAAATGTATAAAAATAGGAAAATAATTTCTTTGTGGAGGTAGTAATGTTGATAGGCTTCCTGAAAATCCTGACGCCACTTTGAATCACAAATACCTTGTCCCCCTCTCAGTGGACTTATTTGTGTTTGACGTGAATGTGCTTTCAAACTGTCTTGAACCAAAGATCTGCTCCATATTCCAGTAGAATTTCTGTGCACAGCCACTCCAGAAATTACATTTCTTATTCCTGATTCGCCCAAGAAAGTTCTGAAAAAGTTAGTTACATCTATATTTTTTGATAATGACAAAAAAAAAATCATCTCTTGACAGTTTATATCTTGTAGCAAAATGAAAACATTTCATAGTTTCTAGATTGCGAAAAAGTAGATCTCTCGTTCCATTTGTCGTCTGAAGTAAAATTTTAGTGAATTTTATGGTAAAACTATATGCAAAATTTATCTGATCATACCTAGCAAAAATTTGATGACGTTATTTCAAAATTTAGCCTAATAAATTATGTTCAGAATGTATAAAATAACCTGTTTTTTATATCTATCCTGTGATTTTTAACCTTATACGTCTGTTTTTGAAAAAAAAAAAAACACACAATTTTACGATTTCACTTATGAACAGCTTATGAATACTGTAAATGCTTAATCAAAATTCATCTGTTCGTTTCTTTCAAAACTGGACGTCATGTCAAAATTTTGCAAAGTATAAGTTAATTTCCTGAATTTTATTTATTTTTTTGTTGGAGCCCCTGACTTAAAATAAAGATATGTGTGAAATAAACTAAAGTATGTTAGCTAGTTGCATGTTTTAAGTGAATTTCTCCCTTACAAAATTTTCTGATGACGTCATCAACATTCTAGAAAGGATACATATAACAATTTGGAAACTCTAATACTGACAATAACACTATTGCATATATTCCCAAATTTTCTGGAAAATTGTCCCATTCAATCTTTTTTTGAGTCATTCTGTGTAAGCAATTCTAAATAAGGTGTCACTCACAATAACCACAAGCAACAGAATATCGAAGAAAACAATGGCGCATAATTTACGATTGTTTCTGTCTGTTTGACAACATACCTAATGTTTTGAACGCAATAAACTATTCATTAATATAAAAAAGAGTATATTATTATATAATATTTAAGTAATTTTAATATCGATTCTTGTGAGGTGATGTCATCAGATTCTTGGTGGGGGTGATTGGCGAAATTTTGGTTAGCGTTTTAGTACCGACATGGCATTCCTAATATACGTACAAAATTTGATAACAATCGGTTCAGTAGTTTCGGAGATTATCTGTCTAATAAAAATTGTCACCGACTAGAAACAACAGAGAAAGGGGAGACCACTTTTTTCGTACTTTTGGGGCGATCATTAACAAGGCGCGGAATAATATCTCACTCGCTCGATCCAGTGTTGCCGCGTCGATAGTTTGATTACAAATATATTTTTCTTTTGAACTATATCAACATAATATAACATTTCAAGATCACAAATCTGTGGTCCTGTGGTTGAAAAATTAAAAAGAGCACCGAGTATTATTATTTGAAGTAATATAGTAATATAGAAGTAGTTTTTTTACTAGCTGTAAACACTCTTAGAGACGCACTGGCTACGACGTTGTGGACCAGATCAAAGCGTCCCCGCTACTCGCCGTAAAACATACCTTACTTCAACTGGGGGATTGCAGCACTGAAATATAATTCCGCGCACTGATCATTAAACATCGAGAAACTATTAAAGTAGCCAGTCGCTCGATGGACTCTATTACAATACAAATTAGATAGAACTTACCGCGGCGTCGAAGCACAAAGCAACAAGTCAAGTTTGTAAAATAAATTATAAAATGTTATTAGGGAGGAATTTTTGTTAGTGGTACAGATATAAATACTTCTCGAGAAATGAGTGGTTTTTACTTTTAAACAAATAACTCATTTATAAGCCGTTATAATCAGATTTTGTAGTGTAATTTTTCCTATTTTTCTAAACCTGTCAGGCAATAGTTTTATTCAATTTGCATGTAACGGTGTACTAATAGGGAACAAATAAAATTATTTAACATTGTCAAAAATAAATTAATAGAATTAAATAAATTTATCCATGTATAAAAGTCCTGAACAAATAGCTTATATTCGTAAATATTCCAGATTATTGTAGTGCGTATATTTTGTAAAATGTTTCGCCGTTTGAGTCTCCGGAGACTTTATTTCATGCTAGAATAAATATTTAAATTATTGTGTAAATTCACAGTTGTATAATTTCTCTAATATTAATTAAAGTCGTTTACAAAGAAGAATAACCTTCTCGTTTGGCGAGGAAATGTATTTAATGTTAATATTTAAACAAGCCGGTTTGAGCACGTGTTTTCTTTGTAAAACTTACGCTTTAAAATTTTTATCTAAAATTAAATTTAACGATTGTTTAATTGTTTCTATCCTTGAACAATTTATAACAAGGCGCGGTCGAAGGACCTAGATGGCGAGAAAGATGACATCTGTTTTGTTGTCTCTAAAGAAAGAGGTTTAATGAGGGGAAACTTGGTTTGGGGAACTGCAACTTTGGACAAAGTGTTATATTTTCAAATTTATAAACCTCAATTCTTCCAGTTCGAAGCTCCAATCTCTTCATGGAAACTTGCCGGAACAAACTTTATTGTGTAAAGCTATACTTGCATTTCTAAAGCGACTTTCCACTTAATCAATTATTGTTCAACTAGAGTAAGAACTTGCTTCCATTCCAACTCATTAATATGGTTTCAAACCAACAAAAAGCTCTTTCCGAGCACGAGATATTGACAATTAACTTCACTAAATTTGAGCACGAGCAAATAACCGGATTATTTGTAGTTGTAAACCGAATCTCTGCGATTTCTTCTTCTAATTCCTTCATAATGCCATTTATGATTCTCGCGATTGTTCTGATTTGTCGATGCAGTAGGCGTATAGTTTATTATCGCAGTTTGACATTAACTGCACCCACTTGTTTTCTTTGCAGCTGATGCATTTGAAGTACAACTGGATCGGAAATAGAATATCCTGTGTTGGTCTGTTTAATTTCCGGTGAGTGTTTTTTTAGGTATTTCGAAAATGAAAATCCATATATCTATTAGGAATGTAAATAAGAAATTGCTACGTTTAATGATATTTATCTTTTTCATGTGCATTATTTACTTATCACAAATCACAATAATGGCAACCTGTCTTTCTAATAGAACGATTTCCAAAAAGTAATATTTTTACACTTATTCCTAAAGTTGTCATTTCAGTTTTTGACAGATTATCTCAATAAAAAGAAAAGCACTTGTAATGCTTGTTCACTTCGTTGACTTGTTTATATATGGTCTGGCGCGGAGTGTTAGTTCGCACCTATCCACCGATGATAGACCTCGATTAAAATTGTGCCTGTGTTTTTAGTGAGTTTTCTCATTGGAAAATGTTTCGTTCAACGTTTTACGAAGGACACATTATGTCATTTAAACATAAAAAAATTAAAACCTTCATGCGATTCAACCGCTCACCTTTCATCTGCAAAGTAGAACCCTCTGCCTAAGTCAGGTTTATGCAGCTACGTATTATGTGACTAAAGAAAAACAAGGTTTAAGCAATAAAATTCATTAAGCAAAAGTATAGGAGTATTTTATTTTATAAATATCATATTCCAATATTTTCACTACAGTGATTTTAGTCATTAACTGCGTTCGTAGAACAAACATGGACCTTGAAGTTCCTATATTTTAAGATTATTTAGAGTGAATTTTTGTGTAAAAACTTTCATTTATCTTTCGTTTTGAAGAAAACAAATATTTTTTTTGGCATTCTACCATCGTGCCAACGTCGAATGGACTTAATAAAACAGAAAACAAACCAGTAAAGAGCAAGTCAATTACGCCCTAAGTAAAATTTCCACAATCCTGAAAGCTACAACGAAAGCTTTATTTCTTAAGAATTGGAAGGAATCTGCATATCTGATTCCCAGGACTATTTGTCAACTGTAGAATTGTGCCGGTGTCGGAACTTGAAATGTGGCTGCAAAAGAAGAAGAAAGAACCTCGGCAATAACCGTAGCTACGAGACTCCATTTAAATGGAAATGATGGTCTACATCCGCAACCATTTACATCCTGTTATATCGGTTGTGACAATATGAATATGAGTATATTGATTGCGCAGGGTTCAGGTTTGCGCGGG